GATAAAATTGAATTTTCTACAAACAAACTCTTAGCCAAGTTCATGACAAACCCTAAACACGTTCTAATGCACTCCCGAACTGTCTGAACTAGACAATTCAAGATTCAGTTAGATTGCAGAGCCGCATATTGCGTCTACATGTGTGTCTAACACATAATCTCAAACGAGTCTAAGGTGTTTTTCAATTTTATTTTACGAGAATAATCAATGTAATTAACTTCTTATAATGGTTATGAAATTTTAACAAATTTCACACTACAAATTCCTACACTAGTGCGGCAAAATTAATTTCCCCTAATCTACATATGTTTCAATAATACAAACTGAAAATTTTACATCATATACAATTTCAACATATATAAATATGACAATTAAATAAATTCATGCTTACCATTTACAATTAAGAGAAATACATACATTTCCCTTAATTTAATCTTAATCCAATCACAAATCTACATAAATCACAATTAATTAAACACATTCGAAGGAAAAATTAACGACAACTAAAAATAAACAAACCTTCAATTAATTGGGAGAGGAAGAGATAGAGGAGAGTGCGTGTATGTTTGTGTGTAAGAGAGAGGTGGAGGGAGAATCAGCAGGGGGAAGCAAACAAAGGAGAAGCAATATGGAAGGGGGAGAGGAGAGGGGAAGGGGACGGAAGGGGTAGCAGAGAAAGAAAAATGGGAGAATGAAATAGACACTGAGCTAATTGGTTAAGCAGAGTTTACTCGACGAAAGACTGTTGCATAACGTACACAATGCAGTCAACCAACTTTGTTTTCTACTCGTTTTTTAACACGTCAGCGTGGTACTTTACAAGACGAACTAAAATTTTTAGATGACGAAATTCTTTGTTGTGAAATTTGAACTTAGCCGACGAATGGTCGATTCGTCCCCTAAGGCTCACTGAATTGTGCGCTAAAAGTTTTCCTTTGCGCCAAACTCTTGCCTTACGGATTTGTACTTACCCTACAACACTAGTCAATCGCATAAAGACTTTGAGTAAACCGTAAAACGTTGACAAAACTCGCCCTACGAATGCATCCTTTCGTCGCCTAAAGATATGTTAGCCACTGAATTAGTTTCTGTCTGGCAAATTTCGTAGGGTAACCCAAATCTTCTGGTAGTGTAATGATAACACCAATCCCCAGTGGAGCCCAAAAAGACTAAAGACATTTAGCCTACTCCTGACCACAGTCAAACAACACACGTCCTTCCAAAGCTTTATCAAACCAGAGAATTACCTGCGTTTTTGTCTGCTTCCTGTCTCAAACCCAACAATGAACTAATCCAACTTGAAATTCTACATTTCCACTAAACAAGTATTTGAAACATTTCAATTCATAAAATCTGTATAAAAAATCCTAACTTCCTCCTGTTTACCGCCACATACATACTCAGAACAAACGTGGGTGTCTCATAATCCGCGATCTAATACTAACACTCAAATTCAAAAATCTGATTCCCTTTCCTCACTTCCATATATATTAGATTGCTATTAGTATAACACTGCTACACTTTCCTAGTGTATTGTTATTAGAGCGGGCCCTAAAAGCTATAATTTGATGAGATATTTTAAGAATAATTCTTTTTTTTTCAATTTATTATTATTAAGGGGAAGTGGAAGGTTCTAAACTACTCCATGCATTAGGAAAGTGTAGTGTTCTGCATTTCTTTTACAATAATTTAGAGGGGAGGAGTTTCAAACCCGAGACACATAGATAGAAACCCAACACCTTATCCACTAGTATATTAAACCACATGCATCTATTTAACTGCCTACTCTTGACTTCCGTACCAACCATAGAAGAATACTTCTCTTATTAAACTTACATTTAGTTTAACTATAAGACAGATTATAATTTTGTAGTTGCCTTATTAAAAGTCATATGCTCAATCAGTAATTCTAAAGAATATGAAATGAAGATCTTGTAATCTAAATAAATTAGATTAATGAGATCTTCTCTTTCTCCTGCATATCATAAATGTTCCTTATCAAATGATTGCCAATTAAGCATTAAAAATCAATAAAGATTAGTACATATCTACCATGAACACTCAATTTGCAGAATCATTGGTGTTAAGTCATTGGTGTGGAAACACTAAAAGAGTTATATATGTGCTAAATAGTGAGTGAGTTCCTTGAACACGATCGAACGAGAACCATTATATGAAAGTTTTACTTCAGTGTCAAGTATGAAGTATAGGGGTACTAAGCCAATGAGTCATACAACTCTAGGAGAGAGTTGATGAATAGATTTTATATTATATATTTTATCCTATTCTTAGTATATTTTCGTTAATATTGTGGAAGAATTTTGATACTTTGAATTGTATTTTCAATATAGGACTTTCGACTTCCTCTGGAGCAAAACAGGACCAAATGGACGAATTTTGGAGTAATTCCAGTTGTAGGACGTTTATGAGTCACTTAGCTTGATCATATCAAAATTTGGGATTTTTCCACCAAGCGGTTATTTTCTGGCGATAAAATAAAGGAGTAATGCGCGGTGCTGGAAAATGACGTTTAAGGGCTTAAATTGCATTTTTGGAGCCCAAGATGTCCTCAGATGGGTTCGTGGCCTTCTGGAGAAGTGTTCAGAATATTCCAAACATTAAATCCAGCTATATTGGGCCAGTTTTGGAGCAGCTTATGGGTCCAAAACGTGGCTGTTCAGATTTTAGACGAATTTTACCATTTAATTTAGGATTATGTTTCCTATTTTATTTTATTAGTATTTTTAGTTTCCTAGTGGGAATAAATGACCTGTTTTTAGGGTTTGTGTGGGGGGCTTCGCATATTTATTGCTTGGTCGTCTACAATATTTCTCTACACTTTATTTTATGAAATTTTGGAGACAGAGAAAATTGCTAAGGTTTTGGAGATTTTCTACTTGAAGGTGTTTTCAATCATTTTCTTAGTAATATTTTCTATGATTTTAATTATGAATATGCGTAACTAATTCCTTTTGCTAGGGCGAAGCCTTGAGCCTTAGCATGAATATGTGATTTTTATTTAATTGCTTATGATTGATTGCATGCATACTTTGAATTATTAATGCCTGATGCCTGATCACCATTAGGATCTTTAGAAAAGTTATTAATGCCTGATGCCTAATCACCTTCGGTATTAAAACTATCTAATTGTCTTAATGCCTGATCATCATTAGGATCTTTAGAAAAGTAATTTGATGCAATTTTGGTCGGAAGGTTCTTTGAAATTGATGCTAGCTTCTTCTTGTGATAAATAATTGTAATTTCACTTAGGATGAACACCACGTCTTAAAGGTTGCATGGTTTTTCAAAGGGTTTTCATAAAGCATAATGAGTCTTTCATGTTCAGATTTGATCCGAATGTCCGGACGGGTTGCATGTTCGATATACATTCTATGTTGGAGGTTCCAAGTAGAATATGAATTAGGAAAATCTAACCTTCAAAGTGGCATGTGTAGATCATAAGTAGTTGGTAAAAGTTTATAGGATTGCTAGGTGATGGTGGAACCCTAGTGTTTTCTTAATTTGATTTCTCCAAAACTGTTTTCTTTTCCCTCTAGTTTTAATATTGCAGATTAGTTTACTTTTATTAATTAAATTCGTTTTTAATTTAAATAGCTTATAAAATCAATCATCTCTATTTCTACTTTACAATAATTAATTGGAATTTGGTTTGTTTCGAATTATTTAATAATTCATGTGGAGAACGACCTTGCGAGATCCGTTTATACTACAACAACCTTGTGATTCTTGCAAGTATAATAGGAGTTTTTATTCCGTTTACATGAGTAGTAAAATCCCTATCAAGAGTAATTGAGTATAGACTAAGGCAAGAGACATGGGTCACAGACAATCAATTCGGGTTCATGTCAGGGCGCTCAACCATGGAGACAATCCATCTCTTATGAAAATTGATGGAAAAATATAAAGGTATGAAAAAGGATTTACACATGGTCTTTATAGATTTGGAAAAAAAAAAAAACGTATGATAGGGTTCCAAGAAAAATTCTTTGGAGGATTTTAGAGAATAAATGAGTATGAGTAGCATATATCTAAGCTATAAAGGATATGTATGATGAAGCAAGGATTGTAGTAAGAACTCATGAAGGACAAACCGAAACCTTTCCCATAACTGTATGGTTACATCAGGGCTCATCTTTAAGTCCTTATCTTTTTATATTGATAATGGATGAGTTAACGGGACATATCCAAAATGATATTCCTTGATGTATGCTTTTCGCAGATGATATAGTGTTGATAATAGAACTCATGATGGAGTAAATGCAAAGCTTAACTTTTGGTGGGAAGTGTTGAAATCTAAAGGTCTTGCCTAAGTAGGCTTTGGTCTTTAATCAAATATGTTGATTATTTTGTAGGTACATTTTCATCAAGACAAAGGAGGCATAAATTTGCTACCACATTCTACCTTTTACATCACCTTTTAAAGATCATCTATGAAACAATTAAACTAGATCTGAAGTTGTTAGTCATCTATTGATTATTCAATAAATAGACAAACCATGTTTCTCACTTAGACATTGAGATTTTGAAAGCGTTAGCCGAACTGTTAAATCAAACGATTTTCTGATTTAGTTGATCCTTTGTAGAATTGATCTTTAAATGTGGTCTAGAAAATAGGCTGATTTGATCATCAAGCAACATTGCAAGATGAAGATGAAAGCCGAAAAGATAGAACGTAAGGGTTTAAATGAGATGGTTGCTAGCATATTGGGCTAGTACTGTATAAGAATGAGAGCCATGTAGCTCTTTAAGATGTCACTTTAATTTTGGAACGAGCTTTTTGCGTGGAAAGATTGATCATAATTCATAAATCAGGCTTAAGCAGTTAAACTACCTTAACTATTTCAGGATGAAGACAAACATATATAATCACTCAAAGGCAAATACTCGAATCTTACAATTATTCCCACAAATCATAATTAATACAAAATTCTAAATGGAGATCGATAATAGAAAAGAAAGAAAAAATAAAGTCCAAATATCTAAGACTTGGAGCAAGGAGGCATATGAGCAGGCGGTGGGCGAATGCTGGTTTCTGTGGTATTTCCATTCCTAACTATGAGCACAGTATCCATTCCCCAGCTGGTATGTCTTTCCAAATGGCAATGCATAAACCATACTCCTGCAAAATCATAATCAATTAGTTTCGTGGTCGCTCATAATTAATCACCTTAATACCTCATACATACAACGCACGTTACTTTGGTAGCTATAAAACTAAGAGAATGATAATATCACAATATGTATTACCAACCCAACCATATTATAAAATTTTGAATATTTATTATTAGTATTAGACTATAAAATATGGTCTTTCCCTAGTAGAGAGACCATGCATGTGACGTTGTAACGGGTACACTCAAAATTATATAACTTACCAGGATTATCGGCTTTAAACCTGATGGTTGCCCATCCATTCTTTGGAACTCCAATGGTGTTAACTTCTGGGGGATCAACCAAATTGTAGGTCTTGGGTGATGTTGTACTGTTAAAATTTCCAGAACCAGTTCCAACCAAATAGAAGCTGAAACCATGCAGATGCATTGGATGGTTCTCAGGTGTGATGATGTTGGTTCCTTGGAAGATGATCTCAACTCCTTCACCATATTCGATCATCCTCACCCTCGTCCCAAAGTCCGAATATATTGTGCTGCTAGTCACGTCTCCAGTGTAGTTGTAAGGATTAGGCGGATTGTCCGGGAAATTAGAAATTTAAACTCCATTGTTATTTCCCCTGTACAAACGAAGTAAGGTCAAGTTTTTTCATGGGAATAAATAAGGTTAATTAATCAAAACGTTAATTGATAAATATTGGAGTTATGCTTTGGTGTTTCTCCATTTCTTATGAGACTAGTTACTTCCATCAATCTTTGATCAGAATATAATTAATTTAGACTTCATGGCACATTATAAAGGTACAAAAGCATAACTATCATTCAAATTGCAACTACAAGGGGACCATTGTAATTTTTTGGTGCACTCGGAACGCAGTCATGCGACATTACTATTTCATTCAAATACACTATTTTTAGAGGAACTAACTCAGTCATCGGAGGTCCATTGACCAAACCTCCCCCCTCCTCCCCACTACTCGTGGGCATGGAAGGCTTTGGTCTTTGATCAAAGATGTTGATTGTTTTGTAAGTACATTTTCATCAAGAAGAATGGGGCATAAATTTCTACCACATTCTACCTTTACATCATCCTTTAAAGATCATCTATGAAACAATGAAACTAGATCTGAAGCCATTAGTCATCTATTGGTTATTCAATAAATAGACAGACCATGTTTCTAACTTAGACGCTGAGATTTTGATAGCGTTAGCCGAACAGTTAAATCAAACGATTTTTTGATTCGGTTGATTCTTTGCAAAATTAATCTTTAATATGTGGTCTAAAAAGTAGGCTGATCTGATCATCAAGCAACATTGCAAGATGAAGATTAATTCAAGCCGAAAAGATAGAATGAAAAATGTTTAAATGAGATGGTTGCTAGCATATTGGGCTGGTACTGCATAAGAATGAAAGCCATGTAGCTCTTTAAGATGTCACATTTACTTTTGGAACGAGCTTTTTGCGTGGAAAGATTGATCATAATTCATAAATCAGGCTTATTTCAGGATGAAGACAAACATATATAGTCACTCAAAGGCAAATACTTGAATCTTACAATTCTTAATTAGAAATCCACAGACAACATTCTGGAACTTCCAAACCAAAGAAATATCTAAGAATTGGAACAAGGAGGCATATAAGCAGGCGGAGGGCGGATGCTGGTTTCTGTGGTATTTCCATTCCTAACTATGAGCACAGTATCCATTCCCCAGCTGGTATGTCTTTCCAAATGACAATGCATAAACCATACTCCTGCAAAATCATAATCAATTCAACATGTAACGCACGTTACTTTGGTAGCTATAAAACTAAGAGAGTGATACTATCACAATATGTATTACCAACCCAACCATATTATAAAATTTTGAGTATTTAGTATTGTGCTATAAAATATGGTCGTTCCCCAGTAGAGAGACCATGCATGTGACGTTGTAACGGTTACACTCAAAATGATAGAACTTACCAGGATTATCGGCTTTAAACCTGATGGTTGCCCATCCATTCTTTGGAACTCCAATGGTGTTTACTTCTGGGGGATCAACCAAATTGTAGGTCTTGGGTGATGTTGTATTGTCAAAATTTCCGTAACCAGTTCCGACCAAATAGAAGCTGAAACCATGGAGATGCATTGGATGGTTCTCAGCTGCGATGATGTTGGTTCCTTGGAAGATGATCTCAACTCCTTCACCATATTCAATCATCCTCACCCTCGTCCCAAAGTCCGAATATATTGTGCTGCTAGTCACGTTTCCAGTGTAGTTGTAAGGATTAGGCGGATTGTCCGGGAAATTGGAACTGTAAACTCCATTGTTATTTCCCCTGTACAAACGAAGTAAGGTCAAGTTTTTTTCTTGGGAATAAATAAGGTTAATTGATAAATATTGGAGTTATACTTTGGTGTTTCACCATTTCTAATGAGACCAGTTACTTCCATCAATCTTTGATCAAAATATAATTAATTTAGACTCCATGGCACACTATAAAATTACAAAAGTATAAACTATCATTCAAATTGCAAATACAAGGGGATCATTGTAGTTTTTTGGTATACTTGGAACGTAGTCATGTGACGTTACATTTCATTCAAATTATAACACATAAATATGTTTTCTATTAATATACCCTAAAATTGAAAAATATGAACCATGTCTACCATTATTTTAACACTTCGAATGATACACAATGTGATTTGTACCAACAAAATGAGAAATGGGGGAGAAAGAGAAAGAGATGATGCAACGGAACCATGGCAATTAGGATTTCAAGATGCAGCCCATACTAGCAATAAAAATAGTAGAATTAGCAACTATCATAATTGAAATGGCAAAAGTAACCATCATAATAGAAATATTAAAATCACCAATAATTGTTTTATTGAAGAAAAATATTGTACGTACCGATAGTATGCTTGCAGTACATCAACAGATGGAATCACGAAACTGATATTGTTTAAGCTTGCAGAGAGTGCATTATTATCCGGGCCTTCACATGAAGAATTAGCACAAATTCTTTCATTGATTGCAATAGCTATAAAGATCCTGGAATGAATTTCAAGTGGGACATCAATAGGGTGCTCTTCGCTTGCCAAGGCCCTGACTTGCTTAGTGAAGTTATCAGCAGCAGTTATATTGGCTTCAGCCGGAAGAGTTGGAAGGGGAGTGATTGATGGGGTGCTGTAGTTGCCGTTATATTGAACAATTGCACTGGTGGTGCCGTTGTGATGTGCAACATTAGTTCCATCCATAAAAGAATGAGAAGCCATGTAATACTGGCTGGGAGGTTGGTTTGCGGTGACTAAAATGTCCATGGTTTGGCCTGGAGTTATCATGATGTAAGTGGTGGTTATAGGTTTTATGTATGAAGCATCTTGTGCTACGACTGTGAGGGTGTGGTTCGCGATGGCGAAGAACTGTTCTTCGTTCATCACGGCGTTGATTACCCGGAGAAGATAGGTCTTACCGTAATCAACCATCCATCGGTATGTTGTCTCTGCATGCAACACAAAATCCATTAATTAATGCTTGTTTTACACAAATCACTACAAACCCTAACAGATGATTCTTGTGAAACTTTCGGTTGGTTGCAGAAACAATTTCTGTTTAGAAGGAATCAAAACACATAATACTATATCAGCTGTTTGTACGTATTTGGAGTTTAGAGACTATTTATGAGATGACTTATTCTTACATTTGAATAATTAACTTGGCGTAGAGAGTTTATGGCTTAAATTTACTTGCACAGACCAAAAAAAGCTAAACTTACTTTTCATGCAATGCATATATATATATATAGAGGAAGTATTTAAAGGAAGGGATCTCCATCTTTTTAATAAAAATAGAAAAAGCTAAACTTACTTTTCATGCAATGCATATATATATATATAGAGGAAGCATTTAAAGGAATGGATCTCCATATTTTTAATAAAAATAGGATTAGCTTTTGGGCCCACATTACATTTAACTTTAAATATCCAAACCGTCTATTTTTTAACGTGCAACTCATAGATCATTCTTGCAAAATATTAGTCAAATGGAAATATTTAAGGTTTTTAATTGAGTTCAAAGAAATTGACGAATACTTTGTTTCCTAATAAACATTGAAATTTTATCGTGATAATTAAATAGGCAACGATTTTAGATTAAATTGAATTTTTACAAGAATGATTTATGAATCAAGATTTACAAAATACATGATTCGGATCGTTGAAGTTTGATGTGAAGTGGACCCCATAACTAATTCCTTTTTTTTTTTTTTTTTAATTTGAAGATCCCTATCCTTAAAGTGCTTACACACACACACACACACACACATACATATACATATACATATACATATACATATATATATATATATATATATGTACGAAATAAAAAAAAAATGTTCCTTAAAGTGCTTACACACACATAGACACACACACACACACACATATACATATATATATGTACGAAATAAAAAAAAAAATGTTCCTTAAAGTGCTTACACACACATAGACACACACACACACACATATACATATACATATACATATACATATATATATATATGTACGAAATAAAAAAAAAATGTCTCTTAAGTTTTTAAGAAATTTGATATTCTTTTTTATAATATGGTTTTATTGACCAAGCAAAGATGTTAAATACAGCTCGAACAACTCAGTAATACCTAAGAAATCATTGTAGTTGACAACCCTTCAACGTAAACAAGGAAAACGAATATGAATAGTAGTTTCGTAATAGAAAAAAAGTTTGAATAGTGATTTTTCATCGTTTTCTTCCAACTCAGTTTTGCTAACTATACTACAAGTCGAGACACTTGGTATCATAGTCTAGTAGTGTTTCTCTTCACTTGTAAGTGAGAGATGTTAGACTCGATTCTCGTCAAAAGCAAATTTGAACTACATTATTACTAGTCCATTATGAGGCTAAACCCACCTCATTCTTCTTAATGTAGATAATATCATTTGTTCAAAAAAAAAAAAAAACAAACAAACAAACACTAAACTAAATTGCAAGTCAGAAAAGCCAAAACCCATCCCTTTCTTTGTATGTTATTCTATTACATAGACACCTTTTAGTCTTTGACAAAAATGAAAATATACCCTCTAGTCTCCATCGTTCACGCTGATCGTTGTATATTATTGAACTAGATTAGGTTAATTGGATCTTTAATTAGTCTTACCATTGGAACAACTATACAAATCTCCGGGTTGTCCGTTAATTGTGAAGGCATCTGAAACATTTGGATCGCCACCTTTTGCGAGAGCCTCTTCTATTATTTCCATCACATCTCCCTTAAACCATGATCCTGCCAAGTTAAATACTTAGTTTTAACGTATATACATGTACAATTTAATATTTATAATTTACGTACTCTACAATAAATCCAATGGTACAATTGTACGATGTAATTCTTTTGCACCACAAGGCCACAATAGTTGTTTATCTTTTGCAAAATACGAAGTTGGTTTTTTATAATTAGATTATTATTTAAATGTTTATTAATGTGTTTATTTTCTATTGATGACATATTATTTGGTTTACAAATTTAAATTAAAAAAATTTATCTACCTAACATTACCCTTTACGCAATATGCAAACTTGCAAAAAGGGAAAGGGCATGCGTTCCAGAGTTTCAAAATACAACATTTTTTGTCTTTTAAATTCTCAGTCCACATCACGCATAATAAGTTTACGCTAATATTGAAATACTGACAATTTAGATTCTTTATATGACACCACAAAAACA